TTGAGACCTGATCACCAGACTTTAATGTGTGGCAACTACAATTAGTGCAGGTACTGAGGCCGCATCCCTCGCAGAGTAGAGGCCAAAAATGGAGTGTCTGTTAATGTGGTTTATCTTTTTATTTTCCTTCACTTTTGTATTTTTTTCATTTAGTTATTTTTTCTATTTACTGAGCATACACTTCCAGATTCAAATATTAATGTTATTAAATAATAGTGATTCAGACCTATGCAAATATTTCACATAAATTAATTTAATCTTACTAGGATCCTGTGAAGCAATTGATAGAAAAAGAATCTTAGGTTTTAAGAAGTTAAATAAAATTGCACAAAGTCACACAACAAGTAAATGCTGGAGCGGGAATTCCAAACCAGGTATATCTGACTTCAATGCAGTACCGTATCTCTGTGGTAATCACTCCGAATAACTGAAAGCATCCTTTTTGTTTTTCTTAGCACTTTTTAACTGGTAGGGTGCTTTTCACATGGTAGGCTGCAAAATGGTAGGTTGTTGGGTTTTTTTAAATTTGGAGTTTTGTTCCATTCTGGCTTTTAGCCTAGTACTAGGCTATTATTATAGGTCCATTTTTAATTAATTTCTGATTATGTGAACTTTTTTCTATTTCTTATATTTGTCATGAATCAAAATCATTTCTTTTCCCTAAAACTGTTCATCTAATTGTATTTCTTATCTCATTAAAAATCATTATCTCAAGTTAGAAACTTCACAGTCATTCCTAATTTTGCTGACCTTCTTGTCCCAACACAGAATTTTTCACCAAGTCTATAAAGTTTACTTCCAAATATCCCTTAAGTTCTTGATTCAGGCCCTCATAATATTTTCCATATCCAATTACACCAGTCCCCTAATTGATTCACCTGCCTCTAGTTTTCCTGGCTGCATTCCACTCCACATAATGGTACCAGATTTACTTTCTCACCACATGGCTAAATATTTTTCCACTTTTTACAAGCTGACCCCAATCAATAGTTCCTGCTGTATGTATCTCTACTCCCAGTCTCCCGATGCCCACATCTATGCTATAAGAAACTTATCCCTATCAAATAGCCCATGTTCTTTCACAACATGGCTCTATGGATGCCCTTCCCTCTGTCTGGAATGCACTTCTTGTCCTGGCAAGAAGCCAGCTCCTATCACCCCAATACATGTCCACGTTCCTTCAAGTAGAATTCACTGTTCTGACATTTTTGCCAATAGAACTTTTCATATATTAACTTACAGAAGCAGTTATGCTTTATTGCAATCATTTTTTCATTAAGCCTCTCCTACATGAATATGAGTTCCTCATAAACAAATATCTTGATATTTTTGCTTATCACCCTATTACAGTGCCAAGCACATAGTAAATGTTCAATAAATATTTGCATGAAAGAATAAATGTGCTCCCTTTGAAATCTGAGTTGATTAGAAATTTTCCTCTAATATAAGTTGGTCTGTTTAGTTACCTCCCCATTTCTTACAGATTGGTATTTATTTGTTTTTGCATGGTTAAAATTTTAATTTCAAAATCTCCTATTACTTCTCAGGCTGGCTTCTCTTTTAGAGTTGCAGAGTTCTGAACTTCGTTCTGAACTTCTTGAATCTACACTAAATCATGACTGAAAGATTTTTGTGTGTAAGATTTAAGGGTCCTGAAAAATTAGTTGATAATGATTTCCTTACACTTTGATGTGGATTATGACTGATGGCCATATGATAGGTGAGAATCTGCCCTCTCACTGAGACCTTCAGTCCCCTTGATCATCTGACATCCCAAAATTCTCTGCAAGCTCATTTGTTCTGATGTCCATAGCTCTGTAAAGCCAAGTCAGCATTGGCACATAGACACATTAAAAAAAAAAATGCCATCTGCCCATTTTGCAAATGGGAAAATTAGACCCAGAATGACCAAGTAGACTATCTGATATAGTTAAGCAAGTAGATTCTGTACCAAAAAGGAAGTCTAATAAGGCCTCTGCTCCAAAAACTGGCTCATTTCCCTTCCTTGCATGCTTACATATTTCTTTGTGTTTTATTTCCCTAAGGGCTTTATAGAAATTTCTATCGTTTGCAATCTGTTCTTCTTAGTTATATGAATCTATTTTCTCTTCAACTAGCATTTTTCTTTCCTTGACTTAAAAAAAGAAAATAAAGAACCAGCTTTACTAAAAACATGTTGCAGCTCTCCTACACTTCAGAAAGTATAGGAGCTAAAATTGACTTACTTTACTGCATAGTGTGTCATTCATCTAATGGTATAATCTAAGAGAATAACCTCTGATTTGAAAAATGTGAAGACTCATGTAAGATTGGACTAACTTAGACCTGATGTGAGTACAAGTCATGGAATTTTTTGGCTTGATGTGTCCTTGGAAATTATCCAGGTGAACCCGTTCTTCACCCAAGGTCAGTTAAGCTGAAGCTCAGAGAAGCCAAGTGAATTCTCTGGGGTCACAGATCAGGGTTATAAGCCAGCCCACAAGCAGAACTCAAGATTCCTGACTCTTTATCCGGTGCCCTTTCTATCTCAGTCCATTTCAAGTATGGAGATCACACCTTGTTGGTATCTTGCCTGGAGACTCTCAAAGCTAAACAATGATGATAAAATGATGGCACATGAAAGTGGTGATTATTTAATTTGTAAGAGAAAAGAAAGCCTTCTGATGTGCTGCATACCAGGCATCACCGTGAATCTGGAAAAACAAATTGGTTGCTGAATGCCTTCAGCTCTATTCTTAGAGAGGAGGATTACTGAGGGTCTACCATATCCTAGATGCTGGGAATAGTGGACAACACGGAACTCATTCCTGCCTTAGAGACCTCAAAATCCAGATGGGGTATTAAACAAATCATTATAAACAATTAGGTAAAAAAAATTACAATTTGCAAAGAGATAAATGGGCTGCTATGGGAATATATATGTTTTTGAGAGACCCAACCTAGTCTGGATTATCAAGGAAGATGTCCCTCAGGCACTGATGTTGAACTTGAAATCCAGAGGAATTTTAAGGGTTCCAATGGGAGTATTCCATCACATGGCATATCATTAAGAAGATCAAGGGTGCAGAGAACACTGCACTGCTGTGTTCAAATAACTGAAAGATGTACTACACACTGAGGAGAATGGAGTGATAGGAGACAGAAATGGAGATGCAAGTGAAAACAGATCACTCAAAGCTGTGTAGGCCATGTTAAGGGCTTGGGGATCCATTTAGGTATTTTCAGCAAGGAAAAATGTGACCGGACCTACATTTTAGAAAGATCATTCCAGTACCAGTAGGACAATGGGTTGAAAGGATAGAATGTAGACAGACCAGGTAGGATGTAAACAGGCCAGGCTAAGACGTGTAGGTAGCGTTTACTCTAGACCTCCAGCTTAATTTAACAGTACTCTTTGTTCCAAGCAGACATCCTATGTACTTCTTTGTCTTTTTTAATGAAAGGCAACCCAGTTAGTCAAAACTGCTGTTAATAAATACAATTTAAACAGGAAAAAAGACAGCAGCCACCTAATGGATATTTTAAAACAATTATCATTGAAAGAAGCTTTTTTGTTGCATTAGGATTGTAACTTTAAATTGTATTTGGACTAATTGCAAACATTCTAATTGTAAAGAGCTTTGATTTAAGTGGTACATTTTCAGTGCAAAAACATGAGTGAGTCATCAACTATTGAAATAACCATAAAGTGCCATCCATTACATTTGTTTTGATTGTGCTCTGTGTTAATTTTTTACTTATGATTTTGGTGTAAGTTGGAGAGTATAAATGTATGGAATACATAGAATAAATCACTGGCTTCATGTCAAATTATTTTGATGATTGCCACTATGATCAGACATCATAAATAACAATGTGCTTTTGGAGAAATTTGCCTAAAGTGATTTTAGGTTTTCAAAAAGAATTGTTTTCACATAAATAAATTATCTTATTTTCTTAAGGAAACCAATGGACAATTTATATCACCTGGTGTGATAAAAGATCTAAGCATAACATATAGATGAATGCTACCATTTATTATTCTCTTTTTGACAATCTGAATTATCTTTTGGATATTACCCTGAATGATAAATCAAGTGATTTAAAAGTAGAACTCAAAATTGGAAAATTAGAGTTTAAGTGCTTTTATCTTAAGTAGATGATATGTTTGTGTACCTTGAATAATAAGTGCTCTAGCTTTGAGCTAACTTTGTGACAATGGGCTCTTCAGTGAGTGACTTTAGGCTAATACAATATGCAGGTGCTGGGAGGCAGGGCTAAGTATGAATTATTATATCTACAGACTTTCATGAAAGCCCAACTCAGCATATATGTAAACTGTTTTATTCTACAGTTATTTAGTAGAATAAAATAGTGACAAATAGTACAACATATTCAACCAACAGTCACTGAATAATTATAAGTTTTCTTTGGAGAAAGACTAATAGTTTATTTTTGAGAATTATTGTTTTGTATATCATTACTTTATCTTATTCCCTGGGGTGTGGCATTTTTTAAGAAAATGTATTTCCCCAAAATTGTGTTTTGATTTAAAGGAGAAATGATTCTTGCTAAGACAATGTGTAATACTCATTTTTCTCCCAAGTTGGCCAGGGACATACAAATGCTAGAAATTCTGACTTTTGGGGCAGGGGGGTTGTTTGTTTCCATTTTTCCTTTTGATAATGGAATTTTTTTTCACTGTTTATTTCTTTTTGAAATCCCTGGTTTTACTGACCATTAAAGACAGTGGATGATGATGGTCCCCACTTCCATACCCAGGACATAGGACTGAGTGGTAAAGCAAACTCCTGCATGTCTGCTTCATGTTCCTAAAATAAGGGAACCCGACATGGAGACTGAAGGAAGCTTTTACGTTCAATCATTTCCATCTCTGCCAATTCTCTTCCAACACGGACCTGTATGTGCCTTTTCATTTTAACTACCTCACCATTTTCCTAACTACACTAAACCTGGAAAAAACAACCACAAATCGTGTTATATCTGTTTATTTCCTCTAGGTTGGACGAATTGAAGACTTCCTATACCAATTAGAGGACAGTTTCTTAAAAACTAAAAAACTGAGAACTGCTCGAAGGCAAAAAACAAAACTGAAGCGGCTTCAAACTGTGCAACAAAGCTAGTCACTGGGGAGCAGGCACTACCATCAAGAGGTCCCAGAGGAAGGGGCAGTGGCGTCCCACCAGACTGACTGAGACAGTCCAGGAACAAAGGCCTAGCCAAAGGAGTGAGGGCGCACTCGCCTTGGCTCGCTTTACAAAGGGATTCTGTGCTTCATTCATCTCCACTGGCAGCAATAAATGTTCTCGACAAGTATGACTTGACTCCTGTTCAAATTTGACTTATTTAGTTAAACAGCTTACAAAATAACCATTGTTGCCTCTTTCACCTGCTTTGTTCCTTCAAAATCTACTAACATTTACCAGGTCTACCCAAGTATGCTTATAGTATTCATGCATATTCATGGGCATCGTTAAGAAGTACTCACCTGCCATGTATAGCTTTGGACAAACAATATATAGGCAAATTTCTCAAATACATAAAAATCTTAGAAAATAATAAAAATTATAAAACTCATACTTTCTCAATCCTTATGGAGGTAAGTCATATGTGGTAGGGCCGATATTATCAGTTGTCTCATTAAAATCTCTCTTCTCTCCTCCAGATCCTTCCGATTTTCCTATTCCTTCCCCTTTAAATGTGTGACTCAGCACAAACGCACATACGTGACAAGGTAGTGAGTCAATAGCCATCACTCGAGACCTCCGCTGACACCAACAGCGGGCTGTGAAGATAGGGTAAGAAGGAATAACTCAGACACAGAGGAAAATAAACAGGAAATCAGATTTTTTTTTTTGAATACTGGAAAAAATGACTAGGATCTCCGAGAACATTGATAATAACATGAAAAGGAAAAAAGAATAAAATACATAGTGCTGAATTTTTCATTACACAATGAGATTGTAAAGACATCAGTTAATAATTTAATCCTAAATGTATGTTACATTCGTGTAGTCATAATTATGCAAGGTATAAATGTTTTTAAATTTTGAAGTAAAATAGGACTTTGGTTTTCCCAGGGATCATCTTACCTTTATCAAATAGCCCCCTCTCTTCTACCCCACACGGGGAATCCATCACGGCTACCACCTTCCCTCAAGCTAGTTGCTAATATAATTGTAGGCGGTTAAAGACAGTGGAGTTTAAGAAACTCCTTGTTTTTAAACACACTGGCATGGCATCTCAGCTCTATTCTTGTAAGTACTGGAAAATAATTTATTTCTATGGGAACTTGAGTCTAGCCAAATGTGGGAGTCTAAGGCAAATGGCTCAGACTCCATCTGACCACCTCTGCTGTTATCACTTCTCACCAGTGTGAGAATTGCCCATTAAAAAAAAAAAATCTCATAACATCTCTAGGAAATGAAGCTTGTTAGCTTTGAATTTTAACCTTAGTGTTAAAATTTTATTTTCCAAAAGGATTTCTATGTTCTGTAACTGTTTGTTCTTAATTGAAATAAAATCTTAGCACTGCCTGTTTGTTTACTCAGCTGTTTTCTGGAAGTCTTATGGATATTCAATAGCTGATCAATTGCTTTATCTTTGGTTTTTGAAAATTAGAGTTCTCTCATTCCACAGTGCCTGAAGATTATACTTGAAAATAATATAATGACAATTACTAGATCATGGCTTCACTGTTTGATCACTTTCTCCACAACCAATACGAAATGTCCATTGTTATTTTGGCTGGTGCTTGGTTAGGGAAAGAAGAGAGGTTCTAGTCAGTCTTAGGAAGGATGATATAAAATGGAAATCCACAACTTTCAAAAGAAACTTCTTTTCAGAAAAAGAGAATCAATTTTCATAGCTTTGTAATAAGGTATCAAAGTATCAAATCTTTAGAATTCTTAATAGTTCAACAGCATTGTCCATAGGAATGAATTTTGCTTGTAGTCTCCGATTTCCACATTAGTGTCAAGAGCCTTGAATAGCAACAACGCAGTATAAATTTACTGCACCTGGCTTCTCTTCCTTTCCGTTTTGTTCCTTTTTATTTTTGAGAAGGGGAGGGGCAGAGGGAGAGTGAGAGAGAGAGAATTTTAAGCAAGTTCCATGCCCAGTGCAGAACCAAAATGGGGCTTGAGCTCACAACTCTGAGATCATGACCTGAGCTAAAACCAAGAGTCAGATGCTTGACTGACTGAGCCACACAGGTGCTCCATCCCATCTTTGTTTTTAAGTTCTCTGCAGAGGAAGGATTTGTAAAGCAATATGGTATTAGTAAAATAATAATAATAATAATAATAATAGAGAAAGCAAAGTTTACAAAGTACTTTCAGAATGCTTATTTCATTTCAACTTCACGAGAATTTGATATATGCATTTTCTCCATTTTACAACTGAGGAAACCAAGAGCCAAAGAGGGTAATACCTTCCTTTGAGTCCAAAGACTTGTTTTGTCCTCTACTTGTTATTTGAAATATGATCCATGGACCAGCAGTATCAGCATCACCTGGGAATTTGTGAGAAATGAAGAATTTTAATCTCCTCCCCAGATCAAATGGATCCAAATCTGTGTTTTTAAGAAGATCCCTGGGTAGGGGTGCCTGAGTGGCTCAGTTGGTTAAGTGTCTGACTCTTGATTTTGGCTCAGGTCATTACCTCAGGGTCATGAGCTTGAGCCACCATTGGGCTCTGTGCTGAGCATGGAGCCTGCTTAAGATTCTCTCTCTCCCGCTCCCCCCCCCCCCCCCCCCCCCCCCCCACACATTCTCCCTTTCTCAAAAAAAAAAAAATCCCTGGGTGATTTATATGCACATTAAAGTCCAAGAATTGCTCATTTACCATATTGGAAAGTATTTTCTTATCAGCTCAAAGTTAACTTGGCACAAGGACCAATGAGGTGGCCACTCTTAAGTTTTGGTTCAAATTAATGTCTCCTAATATCATTTTTGCAGAGGTTTATGGACCAAAAGAACCCAAAATTAAAAGTTCAGTGATAATAGGATAAGTTCTCTCTCTCTGTCATTTTCCTGAAGAGATATTGGATCTTATTCTGTAATATTCCAAAGACATGAAGTCAAACAACAAAAAAAGACATGTTAGCCAAAAAGGAGAAGTGATATACACTTGATGATCAGCCCAATTGAAATATTATTAATTGTATAGCTAGTCCACGCCCTAAATGCTTCAATAATCTCAGCTTCTTTTGTCTTCTACTACTTCCCGTGTCCCTCCATCATTTGCCAAAGCATCTGGATGATGAGCGGAGCTCTGCTGATCTCTGGTGCTGGGGGCAACTTGTCTTTCAAAATGTCTAAACAGATTCTTCCCAACTTGTATATATTAGGATGATAAATTCTGCCCATAAAATACATTTGGAAGGTTGCCACCGGGTATTCTTTTGTAAGAAATAGTTCGAGTACACAAGTCCCCCACTCAAAGGAAGAATTCCAAAGGAGACTACCCATGATCACATGAAAATCATGTATGTTCTGATCCACATCTGCCTTGATGCCAGGCCCTTGATCATTTTCAGTCATTCCTGGATTGTTCTTCAGGGCATTTTGGTGTTGTTTGTATGTGTAGGGGTTCAGAATATGTCACCCTAAAATATGCTACATTGGCATATTGATTATTTTGAATAAAGATAGTTAAGAAACAGTTTAAGAAGGACATTTTGAGCTTCCTCTGTCCCCCTGAAAGCAGGAAATAAATCTCCCATGTGAAAGACACACTCCCTGTACCAGGAGGATAGAAGACAACCTTAACACCAGAGATAGGGAATTTAGGGCCAAGAAGACTTTATAAACCTGTTCATTCTTTACCATTTGCCACTCCAAGCCCAAACCCTTCTGCCTTGTCAATTCTACACAAACTTATTATTTCTTTGTCTAAAAAGTATAAAAGCTGCCTGCTCTGGTAACTTCTTTGAGTCTCATTTGAGGGGCTCCTATTCATGCATACATACGTAATTAAATTTGTTTTTCTCCCATTAATCTTTTTTATACAGGGGTGTCTTGGCCAAGAACATAGAAGGGAAGAAGAAAGTTATTCTTCCTCCCCTACAGATGTTTGTTTTTCTCATCTTTTCAGCTTCAAATTTTTCAAACCTAAAGAAAAGTGGCAAGAATAGTAAAAATCACTGATACATTCTTCATATAGATTTCTCCAGTAATTAAAATTTTGCCTCATTTGCTTTCTCTCTGCCCCTTGTATCTCTCTCTCACTCTCAATTTTGCTCTCTCCTCAAGTAAAACCCATTAAAACACGTTCCATAGAAAAATCACATTATTTCTTTTAATAAAATCACATTGTCATGAATACACTATGCTAATTCCCCACTTTCAGGTCTAAATTTGTTCCCTGCATCAAATGGAGCCAAGTAAGCACGGTTCCTTAGACGCTGCTAGGGGAAGAGGCTATGGACAGCACACACCACATTGTCCCTCTCCTCCTCTCTTCCAGCCCTCCTATGGCATTGCTTTGATGGTCATAGCAGCACTCGGCAGGGGCAGGATCCTTGAAGAAGGAAAAGCAAGCAGCAAGGGCTATTTGCTGGTAATTCATATTTTGTATATCTTTGAGGGTAGCAAGTCTTTATTCTTTGAGAACAGATCATGCAATTTTTGAAAACAGCCAAAAATTACTGAGAACCCAAATTGGTGATGCTATTCTATGTCTAAATCATGGGCATCTCTGAAGTAATGGCATGTACACAGACAACTACATTTAAATAGGTATAGCTTTCCAAGGTGACTCCTCGGAAGAGAACCACCTGTACCTTGGTATCTACATACTAATATATTTGTTTTTAAAAATCTGTCTTCTCAGACACTATATGCTTCTGATGGGACAGAGCATTGGATAAGTTAAAAACCTGTCTAGAAATCAATTTGTCATTATGTATCATGAGCTCTAAAAATATTTATAACCTTTGCCCCAATAATTCCACTTTTAGGAAACTATACTAAAGGAATAATAAAATATGTGTTAAAAGATAAAAAACTCAAAGGTATTCATCACAGGGTTATTTTAAAGAGAAAAATAAAATGAACTCAACCAAAATTTTCCGATATAGGTAATAGACTAAATGATTTATGACAGTCTATCCAATGCTTAACCTAGTAACATAAAAAATTTATAATGTTAAAAGAAAAAAGCAAGAAATAAAACTATATACAGCACAATTATAACTAGGTTATAAAATATATGCATATAAAAGCCTGGAAGGAAATACAAGATAAATTAAGAATGGCTATCTTTAGTGGAAGTACCTATGGGTGATTTTATTATCTTTTCCTTAATATTATACAATAGGTAT